GATAAACTATTTAAGATATAGTAACTCGAATGTCAAAAAACTCCAAAGTGACTGAAAATTTTCGTGGAAACTATAAAGGAGAAAGAGTTTCCACAAAATGTTGTTATGTTTTAAATATATAATAATTTATATAATTTTTAACAAGACATGATAGATATGATATAGGAAAATACAAAGTTATAGTATAGATGGCCTGGGATTCCTGGGTTGCACAGTATGAAATAGTAATACCTTGTGGTTAAAACTAACCTCAATAATCCAGTTACTGATTTTACTATTTTTAAATTTAAAAACTTCCTCTAATTGTTCCTTTAAAAAAGTAATATTTTTACAAGATACGTTTTGACTAAAGGAACATTTCAAAATTTTCACATTGCATCTTGAAACAAATTTAGTATTAGGAATAACACCTAAGGCTTTGAGATAAACGTTCCTGATCATTATTTTCAAATAAATGGACAGAATTTTAATTTATAATACATAAAAATAACAGAAAATAATAAATAAAGTAGACTTATATTTAACAGTTTCACGTATTCTTCTCATTCAATGTGTATAGTTAAACAAGTGATCGCATTTTGTAGTAAAGTATAATCTAATCGTGTATGTTAATTGAATGAGATTGTGTATCAAATACTCGGGTGCTCGGGTTACCCATGAAATACCTGAGTATGTACATAGACAAAAATTGCCCGGGTACCAGTGTATTTCTTAAACATAAGATATATGACATCTTAGAGCATATATGTACATATACCTGGAGGCAGTATCTATACTATGTATTAGTGATTATGAAACCTATGAAACCACTTCATGGAAAGAAATAGATTCAAATCCAGGTCAAGATTTTTTAAATAAGGTACACCCAATAGTAATAACGTCTTTTGTTTTATTTTACTGATAAAGGTATTTATTATTGATTGTAATTCTTATCATTTAATAAAACAATGAGTAGATTACTTGGGAAAATAATTGGATAAAGTAATAAACACATTATTACTCAAGTACATACATATATAATTTTTTATTGATTACAGTTAATTATAGTACGTGTCAATCTCCTTCTTACGCTTTTTATCGATGAACTCCTTTCCCGTTCAAAGTGACTCATTCGAATTCGCATATACATATTAATTAATTTTTTAAATAATTTATACTATGTTGTTTTATATCTTTTGTGTACCGTATAGGCAGCAATGAATTCGAAATTTTATTTAAAATTGTCTCAATTAATGTAGAATATATGCTTTTTCTAGAACTATATAAATTCCTAAAATTATTTTCAATTATTTTACGAATTTGTATGATATCTGGACATGATCGAACATTTCTATGTAATTCATAGAAATAATAAAATAAATATATAAATCTATAATAGCGCTATAGGCCTGGGACCTGAATAAAATGAGAGGGGGAAACTTCAACCAATACGTATTCAGTAAAAAGAGACAGATCGTACTGAATTTGAATCTATCTCTTTCTACGAAGTGATTTCATACTCAGCAGAGAAATAGATAGATACATACTGCCTCTAGGTATATGTGTATGCTTTAAGTAAACAAAATATTTCTATTTCACAAGATACAGTTTACCTTTTTATAACTCTTATTTAAATATTTAAGTAAATCAAATTCTGCGTTTCGATTATTTTCTACATTACATTTTGATTTTGAAATAAGAATATTAGTGAATCAACATTTTCTTGCAGTGAACTATTGCATTACATACGTATTTTCATTTTATCTATATATGTATATAA